TATCTCTTTTTGAGAAACTGCTCTTCTGTGGGCAGAATTAGGCTATCTCTTTTGTGTGCTCTAATTGAAATCTCAAATCACATCTGTTGTCAAACACTGGCCTGCAGGGTGTTGTGCACACATACCCCCGCCAGCTCAATCAAGATGTAGGTCCTCTGGAAGTAAGCACCATTCTCTCATTCCTCTGATACAGCCACAAAGCGAGCTGTGCTGGTAGAGATGGCTGCTCCCACACCCTGACATGCTTGGGAACCTCTCAGAAGGCCTTTGCACTTGGTTATTACCGTACAAAACATATTTGGTGATGACTTAAGAAGTGGCAATCTGCACTGAACGGTGTGCTGCGATTTACAAACATTATGGCTTCCAACATGCCTAACGGTTATACATCAGTTACCGAACTGCAGCTAAGATTGATAGCTTAAGCCTATGTTAATACAGAAAGAAGGGAGAAATCTTCAGCCCTGGCAGGTTTAACACTGCTGTGATGGTGAGCATCTGACAAGACATTATTGTGGGGCTAGTGGTTCTAAAACCAGTGACTTTGACAGAAGTGGAAACAGCTAATAAAGGGATGGTAGGCCCTGTTGCTTTATGGTCTACTGCTTCATACATGTTCCCATCTCAATACTTTACACTCAACATATCCAACCAGTAAATCCCTACTCAGCTCCCATTCTCTGTGATTTCCTAACTTTCCAGCCCCTCTGCATGGATTCATTACCTACCAAGACTTCCAGGACAGAAGCTTTTTGTCTCGAGCTGTCCTTCTCAGTTTCCCCTATTTGTTCCCCACGACTCTGTCAGATCTGCCTCCAGACCCAGTTTCCCAGACACTTGTCTTTCAAGCTCCTTAATCTTGCTCCATCTCACCTGTAGCAATAACCCATCTCCCATTTCTGCTGATACTCAACAATCCAGGCTTCACATATTTTGGAGACATTATGGACAAACCACTTCCCCAGTTCTTTAAGCTTCTGCAATGAGTCCTCTCATACAGAGTAAGATCCAAAATTAATGGAGCTCTATGGAACTGTATAGGGCAGTCCCTGTCTTCCTGTTGCCTTGACCTACTCCTGCTTTCCAGAACTTGACTCTCAATGTCACTTCTGTAATACCTTTGGCCTGTTCTCATTTTCTATTTAGGATTTTTTTTTTGGGGGTCTCCTCCCCAGGTAGAATTAAAAGCAAACCTAAGTCTTGAAAAACATTCATTGTCCTGTGCATTTTTTCTATGAATCCATTGCCCATTTATTTATGACCTTTCACTCACTCTTCTACTAAAATGATTTTTAGACACTGAAGGGTCATAATGACCCAACTCCTCCTCATGCCTCAAAATATAGATGGTACAGCACAAATTATAAATCATGGTCAAAATATAAAGAAAAATATAAAACAACAGTTTTAGGTGCCAATGAGTGTCCTTATACTAAAAAAGCAAACAATTCTGTTTGTCTTACATAATTGTATAAAGCAGCTCATGTGTGCTGACTTTTCAATAGCAGTGAAATTGCAGAATATCTAGGGATACAAATGAGGCATTATGATGGTCCCAAACTTTTAGTCTAGCCTGCTGTTAATGGATATAGTTGGAGAGGTACCTGGCGTTTAGGTCTGTCCTGGAAGAACTCATCCAAAAATGCAAACTCGAAAATAGGCATTCCACCCGGTGATAGTCCCCACATAGTTTCTAGGCCAGCTGCTGGAACTGCTAGGAGTGAGCATCATTCTTAGCATGTGGCCTGTCAAGAGGGCCAGGCATTAGACAGTGATAGAGCCTTTAGAGATCAAGATGCCAAATCCAGCACGTTTTTGTCTTTTAAAAAAGTTATGAATTATGAGGTTAAGTACCCAAAGCCAAGTGCAGCTGCTCAGTCTATTGGTGCTACCACCTGATTTCATGTTCTACTGCTGTGAATGTGCATACAGCAAAGACATCTAGAGTACAAGCATCCTTTACACATTTGAAAAGCAGGTCATCAATGTTTAACTACTGATTTCAAGAACTACACATATTTAGAAATAATAATAGAAACCATTAGGATCCCCCTTCAAACTCTTAATGGCTGGCACATCTCAGGCAAGCAATAAACATTCACTGAATCTAGAAAGGTGATCTCGAAAGCCTGGAGTTTCAATGGGACTTTCCACCTAACCCAGACCTGGAATGAAGACATAGGCTTCCTGTTTATGAAGGCCGGCCTGGGCTTTGCAAGACTCAGTCCTCTGAGAGACAAAGACAGAGAGGGGGTGGGAGAAAAGAGAAGAGAGAGAAGGGTGGTGGCCATCACCTGAAAAGGTAGCCATTGGAATCCCACTATTGTTGTCTTTAATAAACCCAGCCTTCTGAATGCCAGTGTCTTCACAGGTAGCACCAGGGCAAGCTAATGTCTACAAGGAATTTAGGCTGAGAATCCCTACTCTCTTCATTTGCTCTGTGTACAGAATCTCTTCCAAAACAGTGCCATCCCTGCCATGGCACAGGAGGAGCTTGCTCAGATAGGAAGCCAATCTCTGCCCCAATCTTGTTTTGGTGCCTCCACTGCCTCCTTTAAAGGCAACCCAGAAAACTACAGCTTCCCTCAACAAGAGAGCAGGATACTGAACAAGCAAGCTTCAGACAGGGACTCATCCTCAATAGCCTGTTTCCTCTTCTCCATCTATCCTCAGACCTGAGTTCTTTACACACCTAATGTAGCCTGGCCCCCCTAAAATGAGGCGGTTTTGGAGGTGGCAGAACCTTGACTCTTGACATCACTTCTTACTAGCAGTGGAAGAAAATCACTACAGTTCTCTCTGCATAGGTTCGACACAGATGATGAGAGCCTCCACTCAGTGCATGTAATGTGAGGCCAAGTACAGATGATACCAGAGACTAGAGAGAAGGATAAACCCCACCTCACTTAAGGAAGCCAGCCTGGAAGAAAACTGACCAATTAAACAAACAAATCCCTTATCATCATGTTGCAGAAAGATTGTCTCAGGTTTCCAATGACCTGCCCTTTTATGTTACTTTAACAGATGGATGTTTGTCTGCTACTTTTACTACTATACCCAGAAGCAGTTGGTTTTAAGTGACTACCATACAAATAGGCAAATGAAGTGGCATTTTTATTTTACCCAGAAACAAATCTCCAACCACTAACAGTGCTCAAAACAGTAACATCAAAGAGCTTGGCACAGTTCTGAAGTGAGAAAAAGTGATATCCTACAGGGCCTCCAAAGGGAAATTGAAAATTAGGAGAAGGAGTCTCACGGGCAGGGGCAGAGGTCACCCAACTGAGGAACCCTAGAGTTTGCTATCTAACTATCACAGGGGGAGGGGAACCATTCAGCTAAGGAAGGTAGGAGAAAAGCTGATCCCATTAGTGATTGCTGACATCAACCCTTCTTTCTCCTGTTCTGCAAGGTTGCCCAGACTCTAGTCTTCCTGTAGATGTTGCCAATTTTTCGTTTATGCCGTTGAGTCTCAAACCAAATACACAAGAGTTTTAAAAAAATGTAATTCTCACAATAGGCTAGTGAAATCTGAATGTATGGAGTGGGAGCCAAGCACTGGAGGAGGGGCTTAGTTTGTTTGGTTTGTTGATTTTTTAATCCCAAATGATTTCATTGTGTAGTTAAGTTTGGGAAAGGGAGGCTTACACCCCCTCCAACAAAAGCACCAACCCCCAACTCCAACTGGGGTGCCGATGACATCAACAGCCAGCAAGTGCAGACCTGACTCTTGGAACCCGAGCGGCTGGATTTTGAAATTGTGCAATTAAACCTTCCGAGGCATGTTTCTCGTGTCAAGTGGGTTTATGGTCTGGTAGTCATGAAGCCAGACTTGTTCATGTTCCGTCTGGACAGTTGGCACATGTGATCCATGGACATTAATCTGTTTCTTTTTAATTACGGGTTATATTTTAGTTGGCCCAATATCAATCATAAGGGGAAATTTTAAAAGAAAAAAAAAAAAAAACGAGAAAGAAAGTCTCGCATAACAAGGGGAAAGTTTGCTGTGGACCTCATTTTGAAGCATCATGGGTGAACGATGCACAAGGACCCAACTGCCACAAGGCGACCAGCCATACCATTTGAAAGCCCAGAGATGCTCCTGAAGCCCTAGCTTCTGGGAAAGGGAAGCTTTGGGGATCCCAGGGAAGCAACCACCCTGTGAGATTAGCTCCAGTCTGGCAGGAAGCTCTGGTCCCCAACCAGTGCACCTAGCCTGGCAGGTCCCTGGCATGCTTTATGTCCGATAGGCGGGACCGACCCCCCCCCCCCCCCCCCCCCCCCCCCCGCCCTCTTTTTTGCTAGCGAAGAAACAAATCACCACCAATACCATCTTTTCCCAGGGGTCCCAGATGGTTAGTGACAGAGATATCTCCAACCCTCCCAGATCATTGATGCAGCTCGACGCCCGCAAAAGGGCACGCAGAAACCTGCAAGCCCCACTGGGATTCAAGCTGTCAGGTCCAGAGGGAACCCTGGCGGAGAAGAGAGGTGCAGAGGGCGCGCTCAGGAAACCGCCTGTCTCAGAGGTTCCAGCCGGTTGGCTCTTCCTCCAGTCCCCAAACTCCGGGACTGTGCGGGTGGGACATGCCCGCCCCCCGAGCGGGTCCCGGGTCCCTCAGCTCTCCCTGACAGTACAGGGCGCACGTGCGCCGATGCCAGTCGCCCGGCGCTGCCCCGCACCACGTTTCCGCTCCGAACGCCGACCGAGCGCAGAAAAGTGAGGCAACTAAGTTGGGAGCGGCCGGGAGCCCCGGAGCGCACCGCCGCGGTTCCCACGCTGCTTGGGCAGCCCCTCCGACCGCAGCCGGGCCCCCCTCCCTCCGGCCGCCCCAGTCTAGCCCCTTCCAGACGCGGAAAGGTCCGCTTCCTTCTATCGTCCGCGTCGCCTTTGGGAGACGGTGGAAGCGGGCGGCGGGGGACGCGAAGCCGGGCGCGGAGGGCTGGGTCTGGGCGAGCGCGCTCCGCAGGGGGCGCGGACCGGCGGGTCACGCCCTTACCTTTCTTTTCCTCCAGCGCCCCACCTGAGGTGCAGAGCGCGGCCAGCAGCACCCACGGCGCCACTCTCGCCGTCCCTGAGGGTCGCATCTCTGCCCAGGAGAGGTTGGCTCCGGCTCTCCGGTTTTAATCCGAGATGGACGGAGTCCCACAGCGGTGCTCGGTGACCGCGTCGACAGCGACGCGACCTGGACTCAGGCGCGCGTCCAGGTGACCGGTTGGTCTGGGAGGTGGTGGCCTCCGGGACTCGCTCCAGACACCCTGGCCCGGGGCGAGCGCACGGTGCGGGAAGCGGAGGGAGGCTGCTGCGCGCTGAGCCCGGGCTGCCCAGACGTCTAGCTCGCACGGGTCGGGACGTGGGGAGGCTGGGCGGGAGGAGGAGGGACTAGACCGAGAAGGAGGGATCGGGAGGAGCGAGGAGGAGGAGAATGTCAGGAGGGAGGAAGCACTCGCCTCGAGGATCGAAAGCAACCAGTGACCGGAAGGTGGTGGTTGATGGCCTCGGCCGTCACCCGACCAGGCTCTGGGCCGAGTCCCGGCTGCGTGCAGCGGGGCAGCGGCTGACCTTTGAGGTTAATTTGAGTGGAAACTTCTCTCCGCAGCATTTCAAGACCTAGACAGTCCAGACAAATCTATGTCAGGGTCCCCTTCCCTCCCTCTGTCTCTCCCACCTTCTTCTTTCCCTTCTTTCTTCCAATTTACTGAGCAACTTTGATCCACCTCGGGTACAAACTGGCCGAACTCTAGAGCACAGGCTAGAAAATGACACAGATGGGGACGGGGACGCTGTGCCACTTATTTTCCATAACTTCAGCAGCGGGATCTCAGGAGGGTCAGGCTGACTAGGAGGCAGAGTTCCCAGCCGCGCAGGCAGAGAGGGGGTGCCCGATGTCTGAAATGGCACTCAGAAGTCCAAGGGTCCTTCAGAGCCCATCAAGAACCCTCCACGTCTCCTGAAAGGAGGATAGCCAACTCCGGGCACTGAGAAGGGTCACAGTAAATGTTTGCTGAGTGAATGCATGAGCGTTGGTGAGCTAAAACATGGCATTTTCTACACCTGGAACCAGCCAGAAGTGCTTGGATAGCAAAGGCAGATTCCTTCAGGAAAGCAAAGACTTGACACAAACAACAGTTGTCGTATCTTTAGAGCAGTAACCAGCCTCCAGTTACCCAAGCTTGCCATACCACACACCAAGAGTCAAATTGCCAGGTAAGTTCACGTTGAATTTGGCCAGTAGAAATGCTGTGTCCCTGAACAGCAGAAGCATCAACTAAATTCCTTCAGCGAAGACCAACTAATGTCATTGCTTCTAACTATGCAAGAAACGTCCCCTGCTCCCATTCAAGAGCTAGAATCTCCCAGTTCTTCGAGAGAGAAATCCCTTGGTCCCGAATTTAAGCCCCTTTGGTCTCCCTCTTAGCAGGAGTCACTGCTAACCAGTGGTGTGCAGGCCAGCCTTTTTTATGCAGCTACAAGGGAGGCACTCCCAAATTTCTTTCCCACCCAGCAAAGACAGGGCTGCTGCCCAAGTTTTGCAGCTGGCATCCTGAATGGGGCATTTCACCCAGCCTGTGTAGAAGTCCGTCCTCATACCCTAAAACCTTCACTGTGAGGTAGAGCAAGGCTTCTGAAACTTTTCCCACTGGCAACGTTTTCCACAGAAGTTTTTATGTAACTTTGTATATATATATATATAATCAAACAGTTACTAATGATAGACCATAATGCAATGTTAAGATGACTCTTTGGCACACACACGACTTTACCATTTATTAAATATTAAAGCAGCTTTGTGTGATAATAAGATGGATTTGTTTATTGTTAACAATTAGATCTTGACTGCATACTTGATTCTGAATATAGAGCATCTGCGACACTGTTCAGGGTTAATTAATATTTCGTTTTACAGACCTCAATGCACAAAATAGAAAAATACATTTATGGCCATTTTGGAAAATTTCATCCTAATCCCATGCTAAAATTCACTTAACATTTTTTTTTTTAAAGAGACTCAAGACATTGACTTTAAAAATCAAACATTCAAACACAGTACAGCCCAAACACACACACTTGAATCTCATATGCTAAGGGATGATGGTGGGAGAATATTACGACATTTTTGTTTTCTGTATTATAACATTCTTCCTCTACAAGAGCAGACAACTGTAAGTAGAGTAAAATTGCTACAGTCTGCACCATACAATAGCCTTTCATCTGATCTGAGTTTTTGACATAGCATTTCTTGATGCCCAAAATGTGACAGCATGCACAGAGCAAAGGGTCCATGATTTGGGTGTATAGAAACAAGGCTGCTTTGAAGTGTGATCCAACACGTGTTAGGATCACTTTTCACAACAAAGCCCTCTGTGTGCCCATTTTTACACCACAGGCTGTGTATTCGCTGGCAGATACACTAACAAGCAATTTCTCTGATGAATGGCTACATTACAAGCTTTTGAGTATGGTGTATTGAATAAGAGTTTACTCTTTCCTAAGAGTAACATGAAATTGAGGTTCCTCAAATCATACATTCCATGGAAGAAAAGACAGTTGAATGGAGATAGGCAAGTAGGTAAAGCTATGAAGGCCTCTTTCTCATGTTTTGGGAGTTTATGTTTTCATTTTCATTAGTTGAGAATTGTGTACAATGTATTAAAATCATATTCACCTTCTGCCTCCACTCCTTGCAGATTCCATCCCTATTTCCCAACCTACTCAACTTTATGACCTTTGGTTGTTTTTCATCAAGTACAATCTGTGCTTTACATATGCTCTTGGATTCATGGTGCTCTACCCACCAGGGCTTCACCCTAAAAAATATGACTTCCCTATTTCAGAAGCAATCCATTACCAACAGTTCTTCACCTAGGGGTGAGATTTTGTGATCATATCCCTGATCCAGGATAGAGTTTTGTCTCCCTTGACTCTGTGCAGGTCTATATGTCCTGACTCAAGCGTTGTGA